CGAAGCTATAACACAACGTTATTCTTTGTATATGCACATGTGGCACCATTTAGCCACATCCCCCTGACAAGCCCAGAAGCAAATGAGAGCCACTCAACCTTTATGACTCAACTCAGCATTATTCTTAAAAGAAAGCCTTTCTTGACCTCTGTTCCAGGTAGAGCTGACCACTTTACACATCTGTGCCACTACCAAATCCTGAACATGCAACTCTCACTGCACTTATCAAATTGCACTGTCATTTTGTATGTGTGTCTACAAATTAGACTATGATCTCCTTAAGGTGAAGGACAGTTTTCATTTATTGCCCTGCTGTACCTAATATACAATGGCATTGAAAAAATGTTGAGTAACTGCAGACACATTTCTAGTGAATAAGGTATCCTCCAAAGCTGTGGTCCCCAACCCCCAGGCTGCAACCTGTTAGGAAATGGGCCATGTATCACCTCCTGAGCTCCACACCACCTTCCCCTTTAGTTTAAAAAAGTTCAAAAGCCAGGAATATCAGCTGTTGTCCTAGCCAAAATCTGATAGTAAGAGATTTAAAAGGATTTTTTAAAAAAGAGCTCTATGGTCAAAGGTCAGCTTAATTAAAAGCTGATATTTAAGCTCCTCCTTCCTCTTGCTGTCTTCTGTACCACATGAAGAAATCTAGGAGACTTCTAATGACTTAGACCCCTTAAGGAACACAGAAAAAGGTGTCACTCACCCCTTTTGGGGGGATTTTATGTCTTCCTGTGTAGCCTGACAAGTTGTGGACGGCTTCTTGACATGTGTAAAGCTCTTCTCTCTTTTGCATTACATTACCTGATCTCTTCGGATTTTGGGTGCCACAGATTACTTTGCACTGTGAGAGAACACAACCTTTGGCTATGCAATGACTGGCGGATCACTGGCAAGGGCTGCAGTTTTGGAGGCGGCTGATAGTGGTTGCAATAAATAGTTGTTACAAGGAGCTACTGGTTTCTTCAAGTGTTTACAGATAAAAAGGCAGGTTTGAACACTTGGAGGCTATGAGAGTACTCACCACCAAGGGATAGAACTCCCATGGGGGATGGGCTGATTGCAGAGTCACCAGCCCCAGGGAAATGTCTTTGTAGCGAGGTGCACTGGGGAAGCCTGTGTAGCCCAGTCTCATGGTGTTTCCTTCTCTGCAGAGACTGAGATTCAGTGTAAAAGTGGGATCCTTGATTTTTTTAAAAATTTAGATGCACTTTCCTCCAGCTGTAAAGTAAGTAAAGAATGTCACTTTTTGACAGGCCCCGGAACCGCAGGATATTTTGGGACCTGGAGAAGAGAGGAATTCACCCAATTCGTGCAGGTATTACAGGCACAGTCTGATGTTGAATCCCTGGCATGACTTCCTACCCTTGAGAGGCTTTTAAAAGTCTAATCTGAAATTCATCATGAAAAAGTTCCAGCAAAGCCAACTTTAAAAGGAGCCTATATAGCTAATCAATATTCTTGTTGCACTTTATGCAAACAATCAGGTCAAATATAATACTAAAACTTTTTTTTTTTTTTAACAAGTAAATTGGTCCTACTATCTTTAGTAGAAATGGGGAAATGGAGAGAGAAAAATTATGTTTCAGAGTAAAACTATAGCATATCTGTCATTAGATTTTTAGCCCTGACCATTATTTTTGAGTTTTTAGTATCTGCCTACAATTTGGACTCTAGACAAACCAATGCCAGGCAGCCACAAAATGCCATACACCCTATAGTTCAACAACGTACAGCCAAAAACTAACCAGTGTGATTTCTGTAAATCAGTAAGAATTCCCAATGAACAACTTTCGTAACTGCCCGCTCTCATGATTCATCCTTTTTCTCTTTAAAACCTTGAGCCTCTCTTTTACTCTGCAGAGCACTCCCCAAGGCAACTTGAACTTGTGTCCCCGTTGCAGTCCTCGAACTTTAAAGAGAGTTTATTCAAGCACAAATTCTGACCTTTTTGATTATTTTAGGTAGACAGAAACTAGTACTTAGAATAAATCAAATACTTCAGTTATAATTAAAATTCAACCAGAATACTCCACATTAAGAGTAACTTCTTGCCACTTAATTTGTCCTTATATATATAAAATGAGCACACATCTCACGTTAAAATTTCATGTTAAATACTTAACATGTGGTCGGGCGCGGTGGCTCACGCCTGTAATCCTAGCACTCTGGGAGGCCGAGGCGGGCGGATTGTTCTGAGCTCAGGAGTTCGAGACCAGCCTGAGCAAGAGCGAGACCCCGTCTCTACCAAAAAATGGAAAGAAATTAATTGGACAGCTAAAAATATAGGTAGAAAAAATTAGCCGGGCATGGCAGCGCGTGCCTGTGGTCCCAGCTACTCGGGAGGCTGAGACAGTAGGATTGCTTGAGCCCAGGAGTTTGAGGTTGCTGTGAGCTAGGCTGACGCCAGGGCACTCGCCCCAGGCAAGAGAGTGAGACTCTGTCTCAAAAAAAAAAAAAAAAAAGAGCTAATCTCGGCAGTTTAACATTGCAGAAAGCAGGAAGACTGAAGTCCTCTGGAGCACCATACTATGCAGACACAGAGGGTGGTGATGATAATCACTGCTAACAGTAACCTCAGAGAAGTAATGAAACCAGTCTCCGATGGTTGCTGTCCCAAGGCAAAATAGCTCCAAGGCCCCAAATGTGCTTAGTTTGTTGGTCTTTTCCTCAATGCTTGAATAGAAGGAAGCCACGATCCCCAAGATAGTTGTGAGGACGGCTTAGATGGAAAACAGAGACAGGAGAGAAACAAGTATCACAGAGAATGTCTAAGTAACATACTGCTATGGGCTGAACTGTGTCCTTCTCCACACCTCCAAAATAAATTCATATGTTGAAGTCCTAACCAATAGTACCTCAGAATGTGACCTCACTTGGAGATAACGTCTCAGCAGAAGTTAGTTATCAAGTTAAAATGAGGTCATTAGCATGGGCCCTAATCCAACAGGACTGGTGTCCTTGTAAGAATAGGAAATGTAGACACAAAGGAAAGACAGGTACAAAGGAAAGAAGATGTAAAGACACAGGGAGAAGGCAGCCATCTGTAAGACAAGGAGAGGCCAGAAGCAGACCCTTCCCTCACAGCCCTCAGAAGGAACCACCTCTGCTAACACCCTGATTGTGGGCTTCCAGCCTCCAGGACTACGAGAAAGTAAATTTGTGTTGGTCTAGCCACCCGGTCTGTGGTACTACAGAATGGTAGCCCAAGCAAACTAATAGAGTAACAACATATGAAAGGTATTTTTATGATTAAACTCACAACAAGAAGGAGGAGCACTAAAAAAAGATAATGGTGGCAAGAAGACATCGCTCTCTAGTAGTCTCTTTGAAGTATCTGCCAAACGGTCTGAAAGTGAAGCATCTTCTCTGTAAGAACAGTGAGCAAAAGGAGAGGAACAGAGCCCACACTCTTGTAGGAATTCATCAGATCAAGTCTCCTAAGCTCAAAAGCCTATAAAGACGTCCTTCCTCATTGACAATGAAACCAAAGCCCCAACAGCACCAGTAAGGCCCCTTGTGGTTGGGCTCCTGGCCACCTCTGGGTTCATGTGTGGCTTCGCTCCACCGACTGAGCCCTTTCTTCAGCCACATCGGTTTCCTCAAACAGTGCAAGCTTTTGCCTTAGTGTTTTGCACCTCCCCTTCCCCAGATACCCTCAGACTCCCAGATCACTGCTCGGAGGTCTCCATTTAGGGGAGATCTTCCCCAGCTCATTACGTGAATGCAAAATTAGCCTCCCTTCCAGCAGAACCCCACCACCTCTCCCCTTCCCCTACCCACTCTGTTTTACTCCAAGCACACATCATCTGAAATACTGTGTATTTTATTTGTTTATTGTCTGGTTGCCTCCCAGCCTCCTTTAGGGACACAGAATGCAGAGATTTTGTTTTCTTTACTACTGTACGATTATCAACTAGCCCACTAGGTGATAATAAACTCAGTAAACACTGAGTAAATAATAAACTCAGTAAACACTGCTGAATGAACGTATTTGTACAGTCTTCCTTACTGGGCTGAGATTAAGAATTAGTGTGTCTTCATGGTCTATCTTCACTTGCTTTATACACGTGTCTACCTTCTGTCAGTGACTCAGAGAGCCAAGTCTCCAGCCTGAGCTTCCTTTTGCTGCTCTATGCTAATGAGAAACCTGGAAGTCTGTCATGTCCCAACTGTTTCCTCTTCTTTTAGCACTCTACCCCCTGACAGGGACTTGGGCAGGTCTAGAGAGTCTTGTGGGAAGTCTACTTACTCTACAAGGTGAAAGTAGTGTTTGTTGCCTGTCATCTGCGAATCAAGACCTGCTCTGCAATCTAGATTTTAACATGTTCTCTAACCACATTTATGTGAGGGAGAATGTTTTACTATCAGGCAAACTACAGGGAGTTGAGAGCCATCCTCATACCATAATTATTTCTTAGTGTCAAGCCTGGGTAAAAATCTTACTTCATTTGAAGAGAAACAAACAGGAAAAAAAAAAAAAATAGACTTTTTTTTCTAATCTACAACACAAGAGTGGAAAGCGGAAAAAAAAACTACTAACGATTCAAATGCTTAAGTAAAGGAAAAGATTAAGTAAATTATGAAACACTGGAGTCATTTAAATGATTATCATTTTTCAAGAGAGAAATATTAATGAATATTAAAATTAAATTTCAATATATGAAAAAATCGTGTAATCATGTTTAATTTAAAAATAGAACAGAAACACTATATATCCAATGATTTTAACCTTCTAAAAATTATGACTACAGATGAATACAGTTTATAAGGGAATACAGAAATACAAAGGTTTTTGTTAGGATGAAATTATATTTACTCTCTCTAATGCTATTATACTATTTTAATAATTTAATATTTTAATAAACTTGAAATATTTAAATGTAAGCCAAAAGAATGATCATATTGCCAAAAACCAGACAGGAGAGAAAGGAGGGGTGGTGGATAGACCTAGGGCCAGTAACATGTGTCACTGAGGAAAACAAACTGGTTCTTACCCTTGTGCCTCTTCAGTTGGGGAAAGCTGCTAATTGTAGTCGCTTGGATTATTTCCACTACAATTTGATACCTGATATTTAAAAAGAGAAAAAGAGAAAAGATTTAATAGAAGAAAAACTATTCGCAGAGACACCTTTATTTTATTTATTTATTTTCTTAGAGACAGGGTCTCGCTCTGTTGCCCAGGCTGGAGTGTGGTGGCACGGCATAGCTCACTGCATCCTTGAACTCCTGGACTTAAGGCCAGTGGTCCCCAGCCTTTTTGGCACCAGGGACTGGTTTCAAGGAAGATAATTTTTCTATGGACAGGAGGGAGAGAATGGTTTTGGGATGATTCAAGTACATTGCATTTCTTGTGCACTTTATTTCTATTATTATTACATTGTAATATATAATGAATACCACTCACCATAATGTCGAATCTAATGCCACCACTGATCTGACAGGAGGCGGAGCTTATGCAGTGATGTGAGTGATGGGGAGCTGCTGTAAATACAGATGAAGCTTGGCTCACTCGCCCACCGCTCACCTCCTGCTGTGAGGCCCAGTTCCTAACAGGACAAGGACCAGTACTGGTCCATGGCCCAGGGGGTTAGGACTGCAGCTTTAGATTGTATTTGTACTAAATAAATGTAACACAGGAGCTGTGAATCCTTAACAAGTCTCACTGAAACAATCCAACATGGATTGAGCACCTATAACAGGCTGGGCATCGCGCCACGTGCTAGTCATTTCTGAGGCCCTAATGTAAAAATCACGTACCCACTTGCCCCCACTCTACTCCCCATAATGGAAGTATTACTACCTACCCCTCACCAAGGGTAGAAACTCTGAGGTTCTGCTTAACTCCTCCCTCCCCTCCATACTCCTAGGCAAGCAGAGTCTATTGACTCTGCCACCTAAATCTGCGCTGTCCAATAAGATGGCCATGAGTGCTTTGTAGCCATTTAAAGTTATTAAATTAAAAGTTTAGTTACTTTTCAATCATACTTGCTACGTTTCACATGCTCAACGATCACATGTGGCTCGTGGACCATATTGGAGAGTGCAAACAGAAAGTACATTTCATCACTTCAGAAAGTTCTACTGGATGGTGCTGTCGTAAATAGATCTCAAAGCTGTCCTCTCCCCTGTAGCTCCACGGCCCCTGCCTGAGTGCAGTCCCTCATTACTTCTCACTTATATGTCGCTCTAGACCAGAATCAGAATCTATCTGCAGTGGGACTCTGGCATCAATTTCTTTAAAGCTCCCCAGTAATTCCAGTGCATGGTGAGAATTGAGAACCATTAGATTAGAGCACCAGGTAAATGAATGTGTGACAGGGAAGACCTCTGAGTCAGAAAAAAGAAACAAAATTTTACATTTTAAGTGCTGAGTATAACCCTAGAGTTGTGGCGATTTTGAGCATATTCAGTTGGGTTTTATAAATCCAAATTTTCTTAAGGGTTATTCAACAGTTACTAAGTATTACCCTAACCAAACTGATGCACCCTGAGTGTTTCTTAGCCCTTAATTAAACCTACTTAATTGCATCTGCCAGTAATAAAGCTATTTAACATTAATTCTTAACTTTGAACACAAACTTTGCGGCATTCTAAGATTTAATTTGGCTGGCTTTTAGAGCACAAAATAACATACGTTCTTTTGCTTTTCAATTAAAATCCAGGAGACACAAATTCATCACAGCCATAGCTATTTCATGGATTCCTCACTAATTCGCATCCTTTTTATGTCTTCACTTGTGCAATGTAAGTATCAATGTCTGACTCACCATCTCAATGAGTATGTCATCAGGAGTAGTGTCGGTGTGTCACCCAAAGATGGTGGCAGATGCTGTTGGTTGCACATCCAATGTCCAGTCTCCTTTCCTTCCTTACTGACCCACAGTTTTATCAGGGAAAGCGACACACTCAGCTAAAAAGGCTAACCTTTCCCCCAGCAGTTAGGGTTGGTCACGGGACATTGTTCTAGCCTGGGAGACATAGGTAGAAATGGCTGGGTGGGGATTCCAGGAAAGCTTTCTAAAAGTAAACTCCACAGCAAACCCTTTCAACCTTTTGTCCTTGCCCATCCCTCATTTTTCTACATAAAACAAGGACGCAACTGGATGAAGGTACAGCAGCCACCTTGCAATCAGGAGATAAAAGCCACAGGCTAATAAAGACACAGTAAGAAGACAGGAATTGTTTAGGGCTCCAGTGGCTTCATGAACCATCATAACAGCCCCCATTTGCCTATCTCAGGACATGTTGTTGCTGGAGAAAAATAAACTCATAACTTATTTAATTCACTGTATGTCAAGCTGTCTCATGGCCAAATGCTGCTCCAACTGACAGAGAGCTCTTTAAGGACTCCATACACACAGAAGATCAACTCTAGGCTGAATATACACTCAGCAATGTTTGCCAAACTAAAGTCTTGCTAGGGCATTAATGATCAATAAAGTGTTTGCTGGAACTGCTTTCATTCTGCCAAATAACGGCAAACCACAAAAGTAGCTCATTACATGAGTAATTCTGTTAGTAAATGGATGAGGAAACAGCTTATAAGCAGCATACAAAAACCTGGAACCATCAAAGCCCAAGTCCTTAATTTAACCTTGGGACTTAGGTTCTACTAGTGAACAGTATGGACTTTTCACACAACTCCAGTATATGTTTCCAAACATCCCTTTGTACATTGCCATCTAGATTAGATGTCCTGCAAATAGACTTCTTCCACATAGCAATTCCAATCTTGAGAATTTATCATCAATGTAAGGAAACAAGAGAGGCAAAAAAAAAGAAAACACAAAACCAAAACTATCATATACATATTTGTTGTACCAACTTCTACAAAGCATGAAAATAATCTATGTGGTCAATAATTCTTTCATTAAATAAACATTTGTTAACCTTTTCTTGTTCACAGGAATGAATACCAATATGGTCCCTGCTTTTGGGAAGCTCTGAGAATATATCAGATTAAAGGGCAAACACTCAGTCAATAATATTTATGATCATAAAGATTACATGAAAATAGAGTTTATGATGAACTAATTTTAAAAATGCAAAATGGCAGGTACATTTATGATTGCAGACATGTAACCATGCGGGTACATGAACCAGGGCTACAAGGCAAAATACAGATGAAAGAAAGGGCAGTTGTGTTAACGTGGTAGAATTATGAGTCTTTTTAAGACTTTCCGGACTGTTTACCTACCTATCTATGTCTATTCAAACTAACTTTACTTTCTCTCCTGCAGAGTAAGTTTTCTTTACCTCCCCATCTCTGCACTATTACCATCATCTTTCTCAAGGTGTTACCATCTTAGATATTTTTACCCCACCAGCAATCATCAGTCTCAAAGCCAATATACTGATTGGCTTTGAGATTTAAATAAGCTCCTTTCTTTCTGCCACCACCCTGTTTCAGGCCTCCTCCTTTGACACGTGGGGCACTGCAATGGCTAAACAGTCTAATTGTCTCCATGATCTTAATCCTTCCCTCTCCAAACCATCTTGAGCACCCCATCAAATCACCTTCCCACAAGACCACTTTCATCTCACCTCTCCCTTGCTCAACACCTCTAGCCTGCCGTTCCTTCCACAGCTTGGCGCTGGCTCTCTTCTCCAACCCAGCTTCTTTTTCTCCTCCACAGACATGTGCACATAAGTCGGGCCAGTGTCTATATTGCCCTTTCTATGGTCTCTCTAGGCTCTTGCTCATGCTTTGTTTGCTTCTTGAAGGCAATCTTCCCACTTATCCACCTAATTAGACCTTATATATATATCACTTCTTCCCTCAGGTCTTCCCCAATCCCCGTTAAGCACCTTCATATCTGCCTTCGCTGAAATCTTAAATTACTTCTGTTCTTTAATAGTGCCTTTTTATTTACTATTTTACGTTGTTGTTTTAAAGAGTCACACTTCCACAAAGAATGCTGTGAACAAAGAAAATGGTGTGTCCAGTCATTTCAGGGCCTAATTCTCCTTTAAAAAATGGTAACATATTTTTGAGCCTAACACAAAATTGTGGCTTTGTCTATAATAAAGATGTGCTACTTTTTTCTCCCCAACTAGATCATGAGCCTCTTATAATAGGAATTGTGTCTTATATTTTCCTATAGTACCTAGCTTGGCACTAAACATAAGGTAGGCACTCAACAAATATTAACAAGCTAAATTAACAAGAGTTAACATCTCAAACACTTAGCAGGTATGAATAATATTCTGAACAATTTGTTCTTTTGATATTTGTAATGATTCATGCTTTGGAACAAATGAATCATCAGTGGTACTAAAGAAAATACACACCATCTGAGTAAAGAGTTAAAATTTTTAAATAAAACATTAAAATTATAATACCAGCTAACAATTTTAGATTGCTTTCATTAGGTAACAGGTACCTATTTAGCTATTTTAATTTACATTATCTCACTTAATCCTCATAAAAAGTGCTATAACTATCTCCACATTACAGAGGAGGAAATTGGAGTTCAGGTGGATTAAGAAATCGATACAAGGTCCCATTGCTTCTTAAGCATTAAGGCCAGAATTACCATCTAGGGTTGCCTGACTTTAAAACTCATGCTCTTAACCATTCTCCTGTTACTCTAAAATTCAATATAGGTTAATAATACTTATCTTGCCCAAGGCTTTTCAAAATACATAAGCATGGTCAATGCCAGATAATCCAGTCTTTCCAGCCTTACTGCCTCCTATATCCCTCTTGGATACTGCTTCTGCCAAATCAGACCACATGCAATACCCCGAACACACTCCAGTTCTTTCCTGACTCCCTTCTCCTCAATACTTCCCGTTTCTTCTCCCTCTTACACACAATCACTCCTCCTTATCTGACAAAATTCTATTAACTCTTATGCTGGACTGCAAACACTTTGATGACAGGGGGCAGAATCTAAGGATCCACAGCCAGTTCATCTTCATATACACTAGACCTCTCACACAGTGCTTTGCACGTAGCAGGCATTTGAAGATGATTATTGAACTTGTTTAACTTACTTTCACTTGATACCAAGAGGAGATGATTGACTTTTCTCATTCTCATTTTTCTCTACAAAAACCATA